CAAGGGATGGTCCACAAACTTCAAGACGTGTCAAATTATCGGAGGCACTGACACGTAACTGCTCGAGCAATGGGCAGGCACGTAAGAGAAACTCAATAGTTTCACCAGAGATTTCAATACTGCCTAAGTGCAACATTTTTATGGACTCATACTTGAAAAGTCTAGTAGATTTATTAGGACTGTCCGAACTGATATTTCTGCATAACTCTTCAGGAAACACGTACGATTCATCTGGGGCCTGACCAAAATCCCCATCTGAAAGGTTCAACTCCAACTTTTCGGTGTGCCTCTCTAAAGCAAATTCAAGCCACTTCGTAATTGACTTTCTTGCTGATTTGACTAAACTAAAGCATATTCTTAATTCTTTCACGGTGGACCCTCGGTGTGATTGGAGAACCGAATCCACCCACTTTACATACTTTTCCCTCTCAACTTGAGTCAAACAGTTTGGATCATGGATAACCTTCTCCATCGAGCTATAGTCATCAAAGTTGAGATGTGAGATGTAACTCCACAGGCTTTTCCAACGAGATGAAAGAACACTTGTTCTCCCAGCTTCTTTCAATGGGAGGAAAGATAGGATAACAAGGAGAATGTCATCGGGTAATCGACTTATAAGATTATCACCATGGTATCTCTCAACACACTGTCAAGTAAATACACGATAACCCATTAAGAATGCAATAATCAACAAGTTGCACACGATTTTTCACATTAAGTGCTCAAAAACGTTTAACCAAAGTAGAACTTTCAACAGTAGGACTATTGTATACTTCACTATCGCCTACTGCTTTCAAAACCACACCAGTCAGGCAGGTTTGACTGGTTGCCGGTGGAACCGGTCCAGATTTTTTTTAAAATAAATTTTAATATATTTAAAAGTATTTTTAATATTTGAAAGTATTTTAATATAACTTAAAATAATACATAATCAAATATAATGGATAAGTATGAATTATTTATTAATTAGTGTAAGCATTTGAAAGTTATAAATTGTCAAAATAATTGATATATAATTTTTAAATATATAAAGTTATTACATAAAGTTTGTGTATATATACATATATATATATATATATGCACACACACATATATATATATATATATATATATTTGAATATATTAAATGAATTAAATACTAATTCGACCAGTCACTAATCCGAACAGTACACCAATGAACTAGTAGCTTGACCTATATCGCCACAATTTAAGTAGGTTATTTTATAATAAATTCAATTTATTAAACAATTTTATAATTTGACTTTTATTGTGGCATATAAATCTTTCAAATTTATGTGAACAATTTTATATAAAAATATTAAATTTTTTTGAAATATGATAAGAGTTACAATATCTCCACGGAGTCCAATTTCTACAAATTTCCCGCCAATATAAACAAAGAAGTTTAATACTATTAGCTACGATGTCCAAATAAATTTAATTCTATGGTATTTTATTCTTAGTGATCACATTTTTTTCATTATTAGTATTTTGACAAATGAATATTTTGATAAGTTTCATGGGTAAAACATTGGATACAACATGTACTATACTATACGTGTGTTTGGAATTTGAAACCTTAGAATTTCTTTCGTTGTGAAATGCAAAAATGGGCACATGCATGGTCAAGATGTAGTCAAGTAAGCAAAGCAACACTAAACATACTGTGTAGGCTGCTATATTCAAAAGCGGGTGGGAAAAATGATTTACCCATAATTTTATTACGGAGATCTCCGACCTTTATATTGCTTATGTCGTCCAATGAAGGCTACAACTGGAACCTGAAAGGACAGGATAGGGGGCTGGTGGAAGGAAAGCTGATAAAGCCGCTTTCCTTTCCATTCATCAATTTGCCAGCCTGCCTTTCGGAGTATGATGGCCTGTTGCTTTCTATTTGAAAAAGGATTCTTTTTTTTTTCTTTGATGCCACAATCCCAAAGTTTCTTTTTTATTCAAAAAAGAAAACTTCTTGGTTTTTGCTTTCTGTTTTTTGTACCAAAAATATGGTGAACCTTTGAGTATGAAACCAAAGAGTTTTGTGCAGCTTAATTGGACTTATGATAGATAAGAGGTGCAGAATTCAAAAGCGGGTGGAAAAAATGATTTAATTTTATTACATAAATTTGTCTAATCCAATTTCTAATTATATCTGAATCTTTTTGGATAATTGATGTCTAATTTTTTATAGTTACATTAAATATATGATTAAATTATATTTTGACAATAAAATCAATTTAAAAATAACTAGAATAAAATACGAAACTTGATTTGTACTTAGGCCATCTCCAACCTTGATCTCTAGCCTTGATTTCTGGAGTAGAGTATAAATTACTCAATCTATATTTATATAATGAACCAATCCTTATTTCCATATTTGGCATGATTTTAGGCGGAAAATTTTTCCGTCTATATTTGGTATTTAATTAATATTTATTTATTAAAAAACTTATGCATTAAAAACATAATTAATTTGCATACACTCAATGACTCTCATTAACTACAAATTGGTTGAAATTGAAATTTTGACCATAGATTTATTAGATATATTATATTTAATTAATTAAATTAAATATTATCTAGGGTTTTGACCATAAATTTATTAGATATAATATATTTAATTAATTAAATTAAATACATCTATAGATCTTACTCATTAACTACAAATTGATTAAATATATTATCATCTACGGTTGTGGGTATTAATCTAATTAATTATATTCACTATTCAAAAGTATTTAAAATATTTAATAAAATAATCAGAATAACCATGTTTAAATATACTAACTTTATAAAAAATTTAAAATACTAATAAAATTTTATGAAATGTAGTCAATTTAACTATAAATAAGTACATCCCATTGAATATATCATATGCAGTGGTAATACTTTTGAAAATTTTAATAATATACTAATAAAAATAAAATTTAATGGTCGGGGGAAATTCAAAATTGTAAATTTCACCTTAGAAGTATCTATGTAGATTAAAAAGCTATTCAATTATTAAAATATATATTTTTTCTTATATACTATTTTATAAATGAAAAATAAGTTAATAAAATAGCAATGTAATAATTTAAATTATAGTATTTGGTAATTATGGAAATATATTATATAAATATATAATATAAATAAATAATCGAATCGATTATACATAAATAAATAATCGAATCGATACTATGTAACTCATTATATAGGTTAAAAAAATAATTAAAGAAATAAATATAAATTATAAATAAATAATATATATAACCATTAAAAATTTTGTATTGAATAAGAATTAAACTTAAAGTTACTAAAAATTAAAATTTTATCTATCAAAGTTTTTAACATTGAATGCACTTGATAATTATAGCGAAAGATAAATATTATGGGTTAAACGTTGGTCAATTATTACGCAATGTACAAATTATGAATTGAAAAAATTATAAGACTATAATAAACGGCAATTTTATAAGGACATACAAGTAATTTGTGTGCAAGTATCATATAATCTTATACATTTATAATATTTAATAAACTTATAAATCATAAAATTTATATATTAAATAGTCAAAAAAACAAACGACGCAATACACTTTGGGTCGCTACAGAAACAGGCTCCTTGTATAATTACAAGGGTAAGGCCTGCGTACAACTGACCCCCCAAACCCCAACCCGTTTGAGAATATACTGGGTATGTTATTGTTGTTGTAGTCAAAAAAACATATATATATATATATATATATANATATATATAGAGAGAGAGAGAGAGAGAGAGAGAGAGAGAGAAATTAACCATAATAGTAATTAAATAAATGTCATGTTATTTATGGATACAATATTGTAGAGAATATAATTTCATCTTGTCTTAAATAATTTTATAATATTTAAATAAACAATATTTTTTGTAATGTACCCCCTTGCATCGCACGAGTATTAACACTAATTCTAGAAGATGAGAGTATACCCAAATTTTTAAATTTTGTGAGCAACATTTTACTCTGCATTAAATAGTCTCATTTTATTCTCTTTATAATATCAAAATATAATTTAGATCAATACATTATTTTACACATGTTTAATTATTTCAGTAAGCATGATATAATTTAATTTAAGGTTGATTTATAAAATTATTTACAGAAATAAATAATAAATGCATCTGTAAAATATTTATACTATTATTGAAAAAAGCACGCCCAACATTGGAGCGATTTTTGCATTATCTTTAGAGATACATGCATGCCCACTCTTCTACTACATAAAATCTCCATGTTTTGGAATTTGTAATAAAATTGAATGATTTTTTTTTTCTTTTAATCAAGAATAGTAAAATCCCAATATCAAGACTTTTTTATTAAGATAGAGAGGATAAAGTCATTTATGCATACCCAAAAGTTCCAATAATTATTCATATTATTTTCTCAAGCTTTCCTTTCTTGTTTGTTTTGAAGGGGATGCTTTTGGATAAGAAATGCGCTTTGATATTCCCAAAAATAAATAATCTATTGTGTTGGACGCACTCTTCAAAGTAAATTGAATGCTATATTAGGGTTCAAACTAAAAAACAGCAAACACGACTTCATTACACAATTACAAAAAAAAAAAA